AGAGAGAGACCCCCCGCGGAGGGTGAGAAGAGAATTTTTATTTTTATTTTTATATATATATATATATATATAATAAAAGTTACATGCTGCAGCTTTAAGGGCTACAGATCAAATGAATAAACAAGCTGAATTATTTTTGGTTCATGCAGCAGAGCGTCATACACTGAGCAGAGAGTGGAGTGGATGAAAAGATCCTTAACCACAGCAGGCAGAGCGGCAGCACTCAGAAACCAACAGATGGGTCCCATCAAGTGATTAAAACGAGTAAAGAGCAAAAAATTATTCAAATGACTTAATCAGATGATTTATAACAACCTACTGACTGACTGACTGTCCGTAAATCAGGACAGAGAAAACAAATCGTAAGGAAAGTCTTTAGGACAAACTTCATGTCATGTGGGCCAAAATCGACAATAGAACATCAGGGCAAAAATATGTAAAAAAAAATAGAAAGATAAAATAAAATCAAGCTTCATTGTGGATTATGTACTTTATTATCATATTTTTATGACTCTATACTCAAAATATGAGTTAATTATAAGATTAAAAATGTATTCTCTTAATATTACGACTTTGTTTTTGTAAAATATGACTTATTTCTTGTAGTTTTATAACTATGCTTGCAACATTATGTTTATTATCATAATGCCACTTTATTCTTGTAACATTATGACTTTGTTCCTGTGAATTTCAAGACTTAATGTTTAAAATATTTTGTGTTTATTACCATATTATTTTGTAACATTATGACTTTGTTCTTGTAATGTTAGGATCTTATAGTCAATTTAAAATTTTTATTTCCTCCTAGTGTGGCACTAATACTCCATCATACTTCTTAAACTCGTTTAAAGTGTGAGAATTAAACTGGGATCATAATTTATAAGCACCTGCTGCTCGGCGGGACTTAAAGTAGAAAATGCTGCAGTGCGTCAGCAGCCAGACCTTTGTGACCGAAGCATAATGTGATGATTTACCTCCAGAGCAGGGCTTTGAGCACGGAGACCAGCTCTTCAGGGCCCACTCGTACGCTTCCTCCTGGATCACGTTGTTGTTGTTGACCGGCACCGAGTCCTCGTGGATGATGTACTTGTACATTAACGTGGATCGTGTCTCATTGTCCTTCGGTATAATCTACAAACCAGGAAGAGAGTGAAAACCAAAGCTGGCGCATTACAGCCCGATCCATACAATGAGAGACTGGAGCTGTTCACATAAACTGTGGATAATTTCAATAGGAGGGGAAAATAACAAAGCCAGGACGGCTGATTGTGCAGCCATGCTAAGGTAATTGGCTCGTGATGAAATGGGCAATTAGAGGAGAGTGAGTGAAGGTTAGAGAAAGCACTGCGACACCAGGAGGTGAGCAATACTCCCTCTTTACTTGTCTACTTCTGTGTTGTCTTTAATAAAAACACAAGCTATTATCGTCCTATTGAAATACATCAGAGCAACTCTGAATAATAACATGGTCACGACTCAATGGCTCATTTAAAATGGTTCATAGAAACCTTTTCATTCACTTTGTCTCAGAATAATCTTCAGATTAAATTATACTGCTAAGTGAGGGTTAGAACCTGCCAAACTGAGGGCCCGTGGGCCACATCCGGCCCGTCATGACGTTTTATGGGGCCCTCTACACTCCATGCTAGTGTTTCGCACTAATGTATATTTGTGAGATTATTCAAAATTTTCCACAAAAAATCAACAAAATCATTGGGTTTGAGTGTTTAAGTGAACTTTTTACTCCATGTCAAGTTATCAATACGAGGAGTAGCAAAAAGTCACATTTAACGTCATACAGAAACGCAAATACTGCACATTTTTTCAAATCATCAAAATCTTTGATTTTTATTGCAAAAATCACAATAATAATCATGAAATCCTGGATGTTCAATATTATTTAATTTAAGAATTACTTGGCGAATGCGGAGACATCTATTTATCCATATATTAGCAGTTTTTATCGGTGAATTTTGGCACAACCAACCTGTCAGACATTTAGAATGTTGATGTTGCCCAGAATGAAAATGATTTTGACTCTTCTGGGTTAGAAGATCAGAACATAAATGAAAATCACAGACAGAAGGATCATCATCCTGTCCATGAACACCGCAGCAGAATTGTTGGAGTCCAACAGGCTCCACTGGTGCTCAGAATGTGGGCACAGCTTTTGCTTTGGGCTTAGAACGACTGGACAGCCCCTAAAAGATTAACACAGCAACATCTCTGTGTGTCAACCTGATAAAATGTCACAGAAGACGAATGTCAGATCTTATTGGTTAGAAACGATGTTTAAAGTGTAAACAGAAGTGGTGTATCTACATGTTAAGGGTGACCTATTATTGGTCCTTGATTGAGTTAGAATCTGTCTATTATTGATACAAAACATATTTACTACATTTTTTACACAAAATCATTAAATGATGAGACTTTAGTTTGCTCAGTTTTGCCTATTTTGAGCTGTTTTAGGGCCTCTGTCACTTTAAATCCTAATAAGCTGCTGCTGGCCACGCCCCCCAAACTCAACTTTTACATTTTTATGTGAAAATGGCTGCAAAAGTCTGCATAACTATACAACTGTACATCTTTGAAATGCAGAAGTGGAGCCTCCTGCACAACCAACAAGGAAGCAGCAAGTGGTTTCTGAGGGGTATGTCCACAACAAAACCAGCTGCCCAAATGTGCTGGAGCTCAGATTGGGTTGCTAGGAGACAGGGTGGAGCTAGGTTGCTAGGTAACGGTGCAATACCTGTCCAATGTGACTAAACGATCAGGATGTTTTTGAAACGGCTCATTTTTCAGACACCAAAAAATGTCTGGGTGGTTTTTTAAGCGCTTGGACTGTTTTTATAAGCAGTTAGACTCAAATGTAAGAACAAAATGTAAATTTATCCTAATAGGTCCACTTTAAGGTGCTGAAAACTCTTTAAATTTCAATTTTAAAATGCCTGCACTACAAAAATCATTAAATATTTTCAAGTAATCTTTACTAGTAAATTAGTGTTGTCTTATTTTCTAATAGTAGAAGCTAGACCAAAAAGACTTGGTAGGATTTTGTGTTTTTGCAGTGTAAGTTAGGAGAGGTTTCTTGACGTTTCAGTGGCCTGAATCTGTTTCTGAAGCCTCTGCGCTGCGGCGCCTCACCAGAACCACCACGGGGTCGTGCAGAGGCCCGTCGGTGTGCAGCATCTCCACGTCTCCCTCCAGGACGTAGTGCCACTCCACTCCCAGCTCAATGAAGCTCCTGGACTTCAGCTCGTCTGCCTTCCCGTTGAGGATGTAGTGTCCTGTTGCCTGGTTCTTGATTGCTGCAATCAGTCATTCGATGGGAGAAATGATGAGACTGAAGAAATGTCCAGAGAACCTCCTCCACCAGGCCGACCTCTGCTCTGATTTATTATAAATCAATTAATCACACACAATGACACTGATTGCACTGACATGCATAAGCATAAGGTTATGATAGGGCTTAGATTATTTAAATATCAACATTAATCAGAAATATTTAATAGGCGCTTTAGACACTTTTTTCTCTGGTGCACAAACTAAACTTTCTAGCAACAGTGAAAAAAAATTCTAAATTTTACTAAGAAAAAAAGTATAAAATGGATAATTAAATGCACATTTTGATGCTGTTGTAGCTGGCACTTTAATATTTATGCACACAAAAATGTGTTTTTAGATATTTTTAAACCAGTTGTGAAATATAAAGAAGTTTTTTGTGACAGAACCTCATTATCACTGTAGTCACTGAATGCATGCAAATATCTTTGTACACTTAGAATAAGAAAACTGACTTACAAGTACATTTTAACCAAGACATAGCTCCTTGTTTTAAGTCAATAATTCCTTAATATTAATCAAATAAAAGTTCCTCTGGTGGATTTTTTTCACTGAAGACAGTTTCACATTTTATAAGCAACAAAAACTGCCAGTGGAACTAGTATTAGATCAATATTAAGGAATAATTGACTTAAAGCAAATTTCTATATTTTTCTATTTCTATTTTTCATATCTCATTATCTAAACTAAAATGAATTATATACATTAAAATGTGTTGGCATAAATTACTTAGAAATATAAGGCTGAAAAGATAAAAGAAGTGAACAGACAGAAGAAAACCCCATAAATGTTCCACATACAACTAAACAAGTTAAGTTTAACAACAGTCTGACTTATAACTGATTGTTTGGCCTTATTGACGACTAATTTACTGCCATTAATGAGACTCAGTTAAATGTTTGACTGCCAGACTGAAAACCAGCAGAGATTGATCATCACTTTGGCATTTTAAGGGGTAAATTAATGAACCGCTTCGATTGACGTTTACAGTCGTTACAGATCAATCTGCAGTTTGGATTTTCTTTTTTTACCAGGATTTTTACTGCAGATGGTGAAAGCAGCTCCGTTTGCTTCACAACTCAGCGAGGTGATTTACTGTCCTTAGAAAAAACCTTTTTCCCAACACAGACGGCCTCAAGCTTCTTGTTTTTCCAGCCGGATTTAATGAGCACCTGCACAATCACTGGTTCTGAAAATCAAAATTCCTTTTGTGGTCATTAAAACCCCACAGCTTGATGTGACTTTTCATTAGTTAGCAGGTGCACCAGAGGAAACCGGCCCTGATTATTTAGGTTCAAGGCAGCGCTCTAATGTTTTGTAACATTGACATCATGACAGGAGATGCGAGTTTTGAGAAAACAGCAGTTTGAAGAATAAGCAGCTCAGTAATTTCTCTCTCAGCGTCATTTTTCAGGTAATGACGGCAGAAGAAGAGCGTTCACTGATGAAGAGGAGCAGTTCTGATGCTGCGCAGGTCGTTAGCTTTCAGACGCTTCACATGAGCGGGTCTGGTTCTGTGAAACGTTTTCAGCTGCTGGGTTTTGTTTGGTCCCGTTTCTGTTCTGCAGTATCGATTTTTCCCGCAGCCACAGGGAACAATGGAAATAAAGGTAATCAGTTGTGAGGCGCTTTTCTTTCATACTGGGCTCCCTGCAGGCTGCACTGTAAACAACCCAGGCAAAAACAGCAAACAAAGGAAAACAAAGTCAGAGCGACGATGAAATCATCAGGAAATCTGATTCCAATATTACCAAACCACTGGACAACGGACTGGATCCCTAAGATTTAGAATTATTTTTTTTTTTTCTAGTTTCTTTAACTACAAACCGGGTGTTTAAATTGTGTTGAAAAATATTCAAATTACGTAGAATAATGTACAAACTTTATACCATTAATTTCTTCAGTTTTCTGTTTTGTGTCATTTAAAGTTGTCTGTTCTATTTTTGGACTTTGTAGCTTTTTTCAGAAATAATTGTACTTCACTGTTTAAAAGAATTATTGCATTTTGCAAGTTTATCATTATTAAACTTGTAAATGTCAGTAGCCATTTAAAACTCGCCGCTTAAAAGTCTCTTTCTGCTACTTTAATAATAAAAAACAGTTTTGACAAAGAAAACTCAGACTGATCCCATCTGCTGTCTATCAGATGCATAAAAAAATAAACACTGACCTTTTGTTTTTGGCTTTTTAAAGAAACATCAAAAAGTTGTTACAATAAATTTCAACTCACTCTAGAATTAAGTGAAATAAAAGCAAAAGTGTGATGTTATATAAATGTGCATTTTGATTTAAAAAATATCTTCAGGTCAGATTTTTTTCAGGAGCAGAAAATGTCTCATTTATTCATCATTCAGCCCAGAAGACTGTAATCAGCTGGTTTAGTTGCAGAGTTTATCTGACTAAATTGTTCTCTTTCTTATTTTTTATTTTTACTTTACAGACAGAAAACAACAGTAATTAGTTACTTTGTCATTTTACCTGAGTTTACTTCAAAGACCTCATCTTTAGTCGAAGGTTATTTTTGTTCTAAATAAATTATACTTTCATTGAGTCATTTCCAAAACATGAAGGCAAAAGATAAACTGCATCTTTAATGCATTCGGCTGTTTATCGGATGAACAACCGAATCCTGCTAGTCAGTGATAGAGATTTTTGGTATTATCATTTTGTTATTACTTTAGTTCATATTCAGTCTAATGTTAATCAGTAT